TTGGGTAAGCGTGACAGACCACAACAGACAGAAAGATATCACAAATTCAAAATCAGCAGAGCTGCTCTCCTTTCCCCCTTCCCGTGGCTTTGGTTTCCAACCAGTCTGGGCTTTGCAGGCAGAGGAGGATGAACAGAAAACCAGAATTTAACCTTCTGCTTGCTGAGAGGCTGCTGGGATAACCCGGAGCACTCGGCAGTACACGGAGGCCAACGCTGGCCACAGCATGATCTCTCTGCTGGAGAGATTCAAGGGTTCAGTGCTGGCCAACTGCCAACCTAAATGCCAAAGCCTTTTCTTCCCTGACCTAATCCATATTGTACCTGTTCACCTAAGAAAAGGTAGGAAGAGCAGCAAGCACTAAAGGCACTCAACATGATCCAACACCCACCGAAGGCAAGGGAAGACCTTCGTTTCAGCCAGGTTGGGATCTGACTGTTAGAGAAGTCGCATAAGCAAGACCACATGGGTAGCCTGAGGTGGTTTGTCACGTTACCAGTGATATGATATCAGAGAGAAAAAAATCTGGATTCATTAAGGGACGATAAGATTAATTTCTAAATCAAACAGCTATTACGAGTTCAAAAGCCAAGCTAAAGGATCTTTCTCATGAACTGCAGAAAGTAGTAAATCCCCAAAAACGGAGATGCTTTAGCACAAACACACTTGAAAATCCCCTTTTAAAGGATCTTCTTTATCAAGGGGTATGGCGAAATGGTAAAACCCTTTAAGTAGCTGCTCTTTAAGTACAAAGTATGGGACCACTCTGAGATGAGATACTGACTTTCAAGGCGATATTGAAAAAGCCATAAAACCAGCAAGAACAAATTGGATGTGGGGGTCCTTGGAGCTCCAGCATCTGGTCAGGGCTGCAGCCTGTAGAGAAGTTTGCAACTCACCTCTCCCACGTTCGTGCTGACAATCAATGAGGCACCAGGCTATGGGCAGAGGAGCTGCAAGAAATCGTATTTTATGTAAGAAACAAAGAGAGAAGTCAATCTGTGGCAGATGCCCACAGAACTGTCAAATGAAAACCCTCTCTGGATAAATCAGCGAGGGATTTCAAAACCACAAGTGATCGCTTCTGGGACAGCTCGTGTTTGCAGGGGACTGAGTGACTTTTCACTCTTGAAGGGAAAGGGTTGGCCAAGGTCTGCTAGTCGAGAGCTGCTGCGACTGCAGCGAGGGAGACAGGGCATTTTCAGGGGAAAAGGCTGATGTGGGAATTTGCTTTCTAAGGGGACCAGAGAGCACTGACCTCCGGGGTGATCTGAAACTTTCATAGCCAGGCATTTCTCTCCGTGTGTTAGGACTTCCCCTCTTACTCTTTGGAAGAGGAGACCTCGTCAACACACTGTCGACATCAGGAGCTGTGCCTGCAGATTTAAGTGCTTCTGCAACGACATGCAGAGAACCACAAAACATTGTGACATCTATAGCAAAGCGTGGGTCAAATGGGCCTCAAGGGACGCAGGAGAAGCCCAACGAGCAAGGAACCAGCCTTGGGAGAGGCCAGCCCACATCCACTGCTCACTAACAGGCCAAAATTCATTGGCAGTGACAGAAAATGCTCTGTGGGTCCCGGAGTTAAGCTGCCTGATGGAAGACACAAACGCAGCAAAGGGAGAATGTGCAAACCCTTCCCGAAAGCTAAACACATCCAGCTGGGCTTTGCTGATGCTGAGCTTTCGGGAGAAGCCTGGGGGATCACAACAGTGATATGAGCCTCTCCCGTTTCAAGTGGGTTTCAGTTTCCACTTTAAGTCTCGAGGATGCACAGGCTGCGCTCAAACCTTCACGAAGCAAGCTTCAATTCCAGCGGGCAGAAATCAAAGCCGAAATGAAAACCGAATGCTTCAGAAGAGGCTTGAGCGCAACGGGCAAGAGACAAGCTGCACTGCGAAATCGCTATGGAAGAGGGAGGGAAAAGCTAAACCAAGAGGAAGTTTGATTTTGTGGAAAAAGATAATTAAATGCAGATCAAACATGGAATGCAAGAAAAATGTCAGGCTGAAGTCCAGCCGATAAAGCAGAAACTGGCATTGTCACCCAGGTGATGTTTTTTTTAAAAAAAAAAAAATTTAAAGCTTTTTGCAAGATCAGGAAAGACAATAGGGGTGGACTCGGGGGAAAACAATGAAAAGTGGCCACTACCAGTAAGCAACCAGTAAGATATTGCTTGGGAAACTGAAAATAACTCAGTAGGTGTGGCAGCCTGTTACTGGGTCTTGGTGTGTAAAAGCTGACTGAACGCCTGACGCTGTACGCGTTGTAAACCACCGCGGATCAACCACCTGCAGCCCGGCTCCAGTAGCAAAACGACGTGTGGAGGCAGAAACCGAATCTCCAAGCTACTAACGGAAAAATGGGAAGCAATGAACGTCAAATAAACGTGCTGGGCAGAGGGCACACAAATATACATTAACTATCTAACTGCAAACAGTTGACATAGTGATTCATGAACTCAACTTGAAAAAAAAAATCAATGCCCACCGACCTAGCTCCGGGCAGAGTCACCTCGAACTGGAAACGAGCACCAGGACCACAGAAAACCATGGAGGAGGAGGAGGAGGTGGTGGCAACCAGGTGTCATACACATAGGAGAATGCGAAACGTGTTTCTGTTCAGCCTAATAATACTAATTAGGAACGGAGATAAAATAATTGAAGTTGGCCAGCTAGTCTGTCACAGTGAAATAAAGCAAAGGGCTTCTAACTCCAGGAACATGGGCAATAAAAGCAGAGAGAGAGTGTATACAGGGGAAGGGAGGCTGTAGTAAAACCGTGACAGAATGATTAGGAGTAAAGGGATGAAACGTAAAAAAAAAAAAAAAAATTAAAAAAAAAATAAAGATGATTATCTGTAAAAATGACCTCGTAGCAAAAACCTGTAAGCGTCGAATTTGGACAAAGCACTCAAGGACAAGTTTCAGAAAACAGCTCGGTATCAGTCAGAAGACTGACAACAGTGCACTACACTTCCCTTATCTCGGTTTCTCAAGAAAAACCACCAGTCAACACAGCTTATAAAGCCAAACATCGTTCTCGCAGAACCAAACAAGTCGGTAATTGGAAGCCAGGACATTCCAGCTCTCTATTATGCCACGGACCATCTGACCAGAAAGTTTTAAGCATGAAATTTAGACTCTAGCACGCAGAGACGTGACCCTACTTGAATCCGTGCTACCCTGCAGAATAGAAACGGGGCAACCCTTTTCCTAACAACTTCAAAACTTAATTTCCAAAGAGCATTTTGTCTTTGCAGGAGGGTAAGAGATTTTTTTTTGGAGGCTTAAAAAGATGAAAGTCTGCCCCACAGCACGCTTAACATCTTTGCATTCACTTTAGAATAAGTCTCCATTTATCCTTTCGAGGTACGTTTTAGCTTGGTAGTTAAGCTTGGAGATTAGTAGATGCTCCATGAAGTTACAAGTTAGAACGGAATCATAAATACATACGTCCGTTAGCTCAGGAAAAACACAAAGCCATGAGCAGGTTTTGGTCCTCCTTATCCCTTCTCCTACCAGCAGTATAGTTTACTTCTCAGCTCTGTCTTCTCCCTGATCTACCAAGGGGTACGGACACAGAAGTAGGATCTCATCCCTTATATGGAGAGCACTCGGCAAGCACCAGCATGTTCTGATGCGAGGGGAATGGCTATTCCATAAATCTGAAACATGTTCTGGACAACAGCGGAGTTGACACAGACCACAGGAACTACAGGAATTAACCCCCTTCTGTTTACAGCGTTCAACGAGGGATCTAGCGTGGATCCAGGAGCGTCAGGGGATAAGGCAGCAGCGACACGATCCAACTCAAAGGACTGGAACGCAAACCACGCGCATTTGGAAATGTTTTGCACGTTCTAAATATAAAAGGAGATTCTCCTTTTATGTTTAAGTTCTCCTAATTAGGAAGAGCTGATTAAACAACTTCTCTGGAAAGCCACTAACGTAAACAAAAGCCTGTTTTCTGGAGCAGAGGTGTCAAGCTTCCTTCTTTTAGAGGGTTATTTTAATTTCTTCTGATTGTTCATCAACCCAAGTAAACACGTCAGGCAGGAGACTCACAATTCACTACGGCTGGAAGGATTTTTTTTCAGAGCTCCACACTGAAGCAAGGTCCTTTACACCATTGGAACAATTTGTTGGATATTGGTTCACTGCAGTTATAGTAGTGCTGCTTCTGAAATCTTCTGCCCATTCCCCTCCACTCCTCCCTTCCCTTTTCCTCTCCATTGTTCTTTCCCCCTTCATCACTGTTCCTAAATCCATAACCCCCAACACACAGCCTCGCTCCCAGTTCCTTCCCCACCGCACCACGGACCAGGGCAACGAGCAACAGCCCAAGCAGTATTACTTGGGAGAACAATACCCTGTCTCCCCCCCCAATCTCCAAAAGGGATGTCCGGGTGGTTTCCACACCTCTGAGCCACTGGCTCTCTGCTGTTTACACGGAGAACACCCCTACTCCCCAACATCACAAATCACCGATTTCTTTTTAAACAAAAGTTTGGATTCTGCAGCTTCCACCTGTGCTGTGGAGATCACAAGTCCCTCTGGCAGAGGCAGCTCTGAGGCCACGTATGCGGCGCTTCTGCTCCAGAGCCTCCCACGTGGTCTGAAAATCTCCGCGATGACCTTTCAGTGTTTCATTTGGGGATCATTTCCTTTCACCGCAACGCTTCCCTCTCCTCTTCTCCTGAATGAGTCTCAGACACAAACCTGATCTAAGCTCCAGTGTTCCCAGGCCTCACCGAGTTTATTTTACGCTGCTCTCTTTCCTCTTGATAGGATTCTCGTGCACAAATACACCCAGACATACGTTTTTATACACAGACGCACGCACATATATACATTTAACAACGGGAAGCAAAAGACAGACGGATCGTCTGCAAACCAAGTCAGATGTGAGGTCGAGACCTTCATGTGCCTGAGAAGCACCTGGGACCTAAAAAGCAACGGCAGTTACTTACCTTTGAGAAGAACGTGACTGATGTCATTTGTGTGAAACCACAAATATTTATTTTTAATGAAAAAATACTTAAAGTGTGCCACAGTGTCCATATATTCATTTGAATAGTAGTACAAAGATATGTATTTCTGAGTAAAAGTCTTAACACTGTAGAAAATAAATGTGGTTCTTAAATTATGTCAAAAGAAACCAGTAAAAAAGTAATGTTTTATACACTGGAATAAAATGAAACAATTAGAGAGAATAATAAATTATAATTACAGTATTTCAAATATTTGCTTCATGCTTTTTTCAGCATTAGTTTCTAAATGTGTCACGTACAATACGCCCTCGGAAGCCAGCAGTCAGAATGGTCTTTCCATGGTACTGTGGATAATAGGATGTGGAGCTGAAGAGAGTCCTAGAAAAATGACACCACCGCTTGTTATTTACTGATACATAAAACATCGGAACATGGCAGTTTTAGGTTTGTACCTAACATATATTTTTGTTAATGGAAATTAATTTAGTAGTGTGTTTTTTTTTTTTTTTTTTTAAACCAACTAATCTTTTATACTTTAATGAACTAAACAGCAGTTATGGTCATTAACAAGTATGTCACCCAAGCACACCGCACAACCGTGCTTACGGGATGCTACACGTTGTATTGGCTTTTTATACAGTCAAAGGTAACAGGAATTTGGAATCATTTCAGGTCTAATCAAGCACTGCAAAATGTTTAAAACTATAAAGTGCTTTTAAATACAAATCATTTTTGCTCTTTAGAAACAGGAAAAAATCCAAACATGCACTTAAACCTGAAACCTCCATGCCACATATGCTGCAGTCTGACAGTAAAACATCAGTTTTGTGCCATTTGTTTTAAAATTTCCTTTCCCATCCCGCCCCATCCCCAGTCCAAAATTCAAATAGTGTCTAAATTGGATTTGTCAGTGTCTTCTTGGTCCTGTTTGTACATGAAGGTTAGAAGGAAAAGAGCAATATCCAGAGATGACCAATAGGCAGTGTGTGATGTGACTGCAGACCAGTATCTGCTCTCCACGAGACCTTCCCTGAGCTCGAAATCAATCCTGTGCTCCAGTTCCACTAGAAATCAAACGAGAAACAGAAATGGTGTTAGAATTGTATGGCAGCAGAAGGAAGAAAACAACACTGGCATGTTTTTCCATCAGCTTTGGGCTCCGATTGTACTTGCTATAAACAAAATGTACATAATAGCTGCGTTTACGTTTAACTGTACCCTCATCTAAATCTGCTGTGATTTTTAATGATACATACATATATTTTGATGGACAGCATTTAGCACAAACCTGACCTAAGAGTGGTGCTTAGTTCAGGTAAAAAAAAAAAAAAGAAAATAAACCTAAAGCTTAGAAAAAGCTGGTATTTTTTTTTAAGCAGCTGTTTTTCTTATAGTAACTATATAAATACATTTACGCTCCTTCTGATCCCTACACAGACGTATCCAGTAAACGTGGAGGCCCCATTAGGAGCCGCTGACTTTCACAACGTGGACACTTCAGAATTTTCCGAAGTAAACGGACTTCTCACATCTTTAGTGGCGACACAAGGAGACTACACCCAGCGTTACAAGCCCGTTCTGAAAACCAGCAGTCCCTACGCAGCGCTGGCCCTTTTCATTTCCAGATTATTCCAAATCGATTTCAGCAGCTATCCTCTCATTTCAATGGCTGCTTTGATTAATACCACATTCAAAGCAATTTTCACTGCGTGTTTAACTGGCCCAACGGCTAACCTATTGTTAAGGCACTTGAGCGGTCAGAAAAATCTCTACGAGGAGCAACAGAACAAAAAGGACACAACTAAAAGCCTGCTTAGCTCCAAAAGCCAAAACCCCATATTGAGTAAAAAATGCAGCCATTTATCATAGCCAACTTCAAGGAATTTCCATTCTTGGCTCAAAGAGCGCCCAAAGGGAGCATCGCGCAAGCGCTGCCTTCCGCCGCCACGGCCAACGGGCCTTCGCCGGAGCGCTGCGCCGCGGCGAGGGAGTCAGAGCCTTCCAACGCCAGGAGAATCCGTGGTCATTTCCACGAAGACACGTATATTCCCAAAAAAAACCCACCCCTCCCCCGGTTGCTGTCTGCAGGAAGGACGCCCCGACCATCTGACAAGAGGCCGTAAGGGGAGCTTGGGAGGCAGCCAAACCCCGCCACGAGGCGAGCGGCCGCGCTCTCCGAAGCAAATCCTTTGGCCGCGGATTGCATCATCGCAGGCTCGCTGGCCTCCGCTCCGCGTTCTCCTTGTATGGAGCAGGGACGGGCTTTCGGGATGCGGGAAGCAGGCAGAAGGCCCTTGATGTGCCAACACC